CATATAAGTGACAGGTTTTTATGACCAATTAATCTTCAACAGTTTTCAGAGACGGGGTGGGTAGCCACTGATACAGATATATCTGAACCATTATAGAGTCTAGCTCTTTTTCAATTGTAAGGAGGGAAAATTTTTTTTTTATATATACAAACAGAAAACCAGTAGCCAAGGGTTGAAAGGAAACAAAGCACAAAACTCACTAGTTGGTTACAGTATTTCCCTATCTCAAAGGGCCATTTTCTGTTCAAAGACATGTAAAACATTTTTAGTTATTTAATTCATAATGACCTACAGGCAAGACAAATAAAACAGAGTGCCAGAACAGACAAACATAAAGACAAATGAACAAATAATCAAAAAAATAAACATAAGAAATCAGATACTCTGCCTTCTGCTACCCAACTGTAACAAGATTCCCTGTGTCCATCTGACTGTCATCTAAACATACATCAAATGGTCATATAATAAACAAACAAACAAATCAATAAATGCCAGAGTTCACGTTGCTGCCACCAGCAGTTATACACAAATCAAAACCAGAACAACATCCAGACTTGAATGTAACTAGTAACAGAACCAGAAACAGAGAAAGGGATTTAGTCAGTGAAGCTCTATTGCCACAGGAGAGTCAACTCAAGAACCAGAAAGATTATATCTAGATGAAAAGAGTCCATTGAGTACTCCTCTCTGGCACTGTGGTCTACTCAGTGCCAATAGGGAAATCAGCTAGAGAGAAAATTTACTTTCAAAGAAAGTTGTTAAGGAGACCAGTTTCTAAAGGGTTTGCTCATCAAAAAACAAAATAGAACAAGTAAACAAAGCATGCATTAAAAGAAAAATACTCACAAAGTTACCAAGGTTACCAAGTTTGCAATTAGTTTGTTAATAAAAGAAAAAAAGTAATTTTCTCACATGATAATCTTATCTGTAAAACTTTCTTCCATCTTCAGATATCAGCATTACAGAAGACAGGAGTGGAGTTGATTTTCTCCGGGAGTCAATAATTTACAGAAAGTCCTAAGGTTTCATTTAATTTAGGATCTACAACTAGACCCTGGTTTTCTTGTGTCTTGTTTTTGTTTCTCAGGATACAAATTGATGTGTATGTTTCCTTTCTGTAGGGTGTGATATTCATGTTTACCCTTAGTGGAAGCAGGCATTGTCAATTTTGTTCCACATTTATTTAGCCTCCTTCTTGATATCTCCCTCCTCTGGTCTGTTTGAATTATTGTATCAACTTAATTACTTGGAAAAGGTTGACATTCACTGAGCACTTAATTTATGTCAAATAAAAATATGATCTTGTTTAATAGTCACAATAACACTGTGAAATAGATATTACCCTTATTTTACACACAAGGAAAGTGCCAGAGAAGTTAAATCGTTTACTCAAGGACCCATAGAGAGAGAGAGGGAAAGCTGAAATTTGAACTCTTTCTGTTGTATTGTAACTCTATTGTACTCACCGGTTTTCTCCATCAATCATCAGCTCCTTGAGCTACATGTAGGGTTAGGTACACAGCTCACCAGAATCACCATTTGTTCTGTGTTCTCTGAGTAAACTAGCTTTCAAACACTTATGTCTCGATGTTCTGGAAGTTTTTTTAACTGAAACAGTCAGGAACTCAATTAAATGGCTGATCTTGATTTATAGGGACCACCGGGTAAAGTGAAGGAAAGACATTGAAGTTCTTATAGGTACTTGTTAGGATGTACTGAGACACGGAGGACCTAAGCCACCACCTATGCTGGAACAAAGAAGGTATTCGTCACCAGCTGAATACCTGGCCACAAGGTTCCTATTATCAGAAGCAACTGAGGCAGTCACCAGCATCCTGCAGGAAACCAGCTGAATCCTCCTGCCCCTCCTCTCTCCCTTGAACTTTTCCCAGTAACGAGACCCATAAATCTCCCTGACTTTCTGTCACCAAATCAGCCCTCCCTGACCTGAGGACATTGTCTTGCAAACACCTACACCTTGGACACCTGGGACAGATCAGCAGGGTGGCTCATCATCCCCCGGGGGTCTGCTACACACCCTTAAAAACCCTTCTACTCTTTCCCTTGCTGGTGCAGTTTGCTCAGACTCAGCCCGCCCAGACTCAGCCCGCGTGATTGCAGAGTCCTGCCTCAAATGAAAGCCCTTAATTGGACCTTTTTGGCACCCAGTCCTTTCTTAGCCACCTCAGCTACCTAGCAGTACTGATTTGATGGCAGGAAGTCATCAGAAAGTGCTGAAGTGAAGAGAGAGAGAGATAATAGGGTCATGAGAGAAAATGAGCCAGACCAAGCAGGAAAGCATAGCTATTAGGACAAATGGTCTGAGGTTTGAGCCTGTTTCTGTCCATCTTTCAATATCCAAATATGCCTGTTTCTTCCCACCACCCGCAGTTTCTTGGAAAGAAACGTCTTTAGCAAAAAGAAAAACATACATCACAAAGAGCCAACACCTCTGAGAGAATGGGTTAAGGAGATACAAAAGCTGCCTGGCAAGGAACATGAACGCTTGAAGATGGTGATCTACAGAAGACGGGAAATGGTGTAGACAGCACTGGTATTCAATAAAGTGGCAGCAGTCAACAGAGCAGAAGGACGGCACTACTAGCTGGCACCAGAGCAAGGGAATTCAGAATGGTAGGAAGCTCCTCAATGATTGTATGATAGAAACAATCCCCATCTCCATCCATGGGCAACTCCTAAAGGGAGATTGTATTATCTTGGGTTACCTAACTTCTCTGACAAGGAAAATGAGGGTGATAGTAAGAGTACCTGCTCATTAGGTTTGTTGTGAGTATTGCATCGTACGATGAGCATTGAAGATAAACAAACATACTAGTCATTACATTGTTAAAAATGTTAATTTATTCATTTTAAATGGAAATCATTTACAAGCCACTCCAATACCAGTCCTACTGTTCTGAGAATGTACCAGGCACACTCCTGCCTCGGTGTCTTTGAATATCCTGTTTTCTTTGCCTGGAATGCTCTTTCCCTAGATAGCTCCATAAAGTCATTTACTCAAATGACACCTCTCAATAAGGGCTTTCCTGGCCATCCTGGAACATCTTATTCCCCTATCCTGTTTAATTTTTCTTTGTATCATTTAGTATTATCTAATACACTAGATACTTATTTATTTTCTGCTTCTGTTCATTAGGATATAAGTTCTGTAGTATATTTTTCTGTTCTGTTCGCTGCTGTGTCCTAAGTGCCTGTAAGAATGCCTGGCACAGAGTAGACACTCAAATATTTGGCGAATCCATGAAAGACGTTCACCATCCAGAAGATCTTCTCTCAGTTACAAGGCACATGGACAGTCTCTGAGCAGAAAAATATCTTTTGCTACTATCAGTGGGTCTCAAAAAGTACCTGGAGTCTCTGCTAGCACCTTGAAATAACTTAATCCCATCATCCATTCATTCCAGTTCTTCATTTATTCATTCATTATTCATATTTATGGAGTCCCTATTATGTGCCAAATACTAGCCTAGTACTTGGGATCCAGCAATGAACTTTCATGGAGCTTATATTCTACAATAACCAGGACAGGGATAGGGTTGGGGGGTGGAGAGAGAACAGAAGAACTATGTTTCTTATCCTTGTCATTGCACCGTTTTAAGCCATTACTAAATTTATCTGCCCTTCTGGGTTATCTCTTTCATATTCTCATCCTTATACTTCCTTGTGTTGTCTCCCCTGGATGTAGCCCTTAAAGTATTTAAACTTTTTTCTTGCAACAGAGAATCATCAGACAATTAACCACATTTGGTCAAGACACAAATACAAAATCAAAATCAGCTCTGAACCCCTGAGCTGATTATATGCATTGGCATTGTGCAGACAACTTCTAGGAAGTAGCACCGGAAAATAGTTTCTCACTGAATAAGTAGTTCCACTTCTCTTTGTGTGAAGGGTGCAAGCTTTAGACATAAGGAAAATAACTTTACTTCTTGCAGATATTCATTCATTAAATGTTTACAAATTACTTAATGAGATCTTACTTTGTGACTAGCACATGATGCCCATAGGGATACAAGTAAGTGAAAGATATAGATTCCATTCTGTAGCAGGTGGCACTTCCATAAAGGAGACTAGACCCGCCCCCCAAAGAAGTGTAAGTTTTATAACACTCTAAAGAGACAGTGTTTCTACTTCACCTGTGCACCCTCCCACCCCCAATCAAGCCATTTTGGTTTCTCTTGCTTCCCTGACAACACTGGATCCTGTGGGATAATCAGCCATGCTCTTGTCTGTATCCTATGTTCCCCTACTCCTTGATTTTCCCCCATTTTCATATTTTCTGCTACTTAGTTCAGGATTTTCATTTTTCTTGATGGCAGGTTGCAGAACTGCTTGTGAAAATCAAGTTATTTAGTGTTCTGTAACTTTCAGGAGGTTGCAACTTAATATTTGCAGGCACTCTGGATATAGGGCTTGGGGAGAGAGGAAAGAGATTTTACTGCTGTTGGAAGCCAGACTTGTGAAATAATTGGAGTATTTAAACCAGTCACTGAGACCGAAAATTACCAGAAAAGCAAATTACACCAAGAAAAGAACAGAAAACCTAAATTCATATCCTGGATTCATTGAAGAAAAAAAAAAATGGGAGAGGCATAGATATATTTGAAAGAAATCTGTGCAACACAATCAGTTTGGCCGGATAGAACAGTCACAACCGTAGTGTCATTCTGAGGATTTCATCTCAAGGCAGGAGTAAAATCTAGCGGCTGGCATTTCCTTGATTATCTATGCCCGAGGCAGGCACCGAGACAACTCGGCATTTGTTGCAAGGGAAAATATATCATAAAGGGGAGACAAAAATAATAACAAGCCAACTTTTCTTTAGATTGCAGTGCAGTGAAGATGACAAAAACTCGTTGCCCTAAGAAATCTCGCGATATTTTCGTCGTCTTCTGTGGCGCGAATATTGCGGAAGTGACGGCCCGCTGTGCGTCTCGTCATTCGTCGGAAGTGTGTCACATCCCAGAAGCCTTGGAGAAGGAGAAGCGCGTTCGCGCGGTCTGTACGCAGTCTAGTGTGGAACATTTAGGCGGCGTGGTCTGGTTCCTTGCAGGAAAGCGTGCGCGTTTGCGCTTGGCCAGCCGCGGCCTTGGGCCGCAAGTCTGGTCTTTTCTATTGGGAACAAAGCTTAAGACGGGCTGCGCGGCCCCCTGACTCTGCCCAACTATGTTGGTGCTGTTTGAAACGTCCGTTGGCTACGCCATCTTTAAGGTAAGTGGATGATTGAGCCGTTGGAGGGGGAAAGGCGGGTGTTGGGCAGGCAGGGAAAAGGAGAGACTTGAAGAGAGGATGGCACTTCTGAGGATAGCACGGGTACCTTTTCTGCTCCTCTGTTGGGAAAGAAAGGGGAAGGCTTTGGGCCTCTCAGGCGCACGTGCCAGCGAACACGTGGCCGTACCTTTTTGGGATGCCGGGTTCTGGGTTAGAGGATTTGGCTCGATGGGAGAGGTGGACGGAAGTCGTGTTAAAATTTTACAAGTTATGAAAGAGTTTTATTTTGAGTGTTTCGAGGAATGACTTCAAGGTTTTAAGGATAGGAATGATGTACTTTGTCCTATTAATACACTTGCTGTTATGTGTGTTTAGATTACAGGGGGGCAGGAAAGGAAGCAAGGATGTTTGTGCATTAATCTAGACAAGATAAGTATGCTTTGATTAAAGTCGATGTGAAGGTAAAAACATCGATATAATTTTAAAGGTAGAACTGACAGAATTGGTTGATTGGTTGAATCTGGGGTTTTGGTTTAAGTGCGTTCGTGATGATAGGGAAGAGAAAAACAGGTTGTTGGGCTTTTGAATGGGGAAACCAAAGAGTTAACAGGTTGGCTCTGTGAAGCTTGCGATCTCTATTACATTTGGAAATGGCAATAGTCATTTCGAATTTGAAGCTTAGGGGAGAAATCTAGGCTGGTGATAATCAAGTTAAGATTAGGTTGTTTTAATAAGGAAGGTTTGAAGTTAAGACTTAAGCATGGTAATGATTGAACAGTGAGACAATCGTATAGTGGGATGCTGTTGAAATGTTAGGAAGAATGAAGTAAATTGAGTGCAGCCTACATGCCAGGCACTCTTCAGAGCTCTAGGAATATAGCAATAAAAAATAAATTTTTTCTCATATGCTGATATAAGGCCCCAGAAAAGCTAGGTAAGATGTATAGTATGATTCTAGTTGTCCGTCAAAAAACTGTATGTGATATGGCTGTAGAAAGCCTGAAAGGGGACATACTAAAGTATTGATTTGGGAGAGCTTTTCACTCACCAAGTTTCTCTTCTGATACTTGAAAATATCTCTGTTGGCACTTATTACATTAAATACCTGTGGTGTTGTTTGGTGTTGTTTTTTTTTTTGTTTGTTTGTTTTTAAGAAAACCAATAAAATAATTAAAAACCAAAAGCTAGCTTTGCTTATTTTTCCTCATTGGAGTTGTCTGTAATTGCAGCATTACTCACTCTTGAGTTAAGTGAAACTAACAATCTCTTGAAGGCAAGTTGGTAACATCTGTCTACATAAAATATGCATATCCTATATGATCAATTAAGGTCTACTTCTGGTAGTTTGTTGTACAGAAATACATTACGTGTGCATACAAAAAAAAGTTTTCTGAAGGATGAGGAAACTTTAGAAATAACTTGCATATTTATCAACAAAAACATGAATGGTGGTGTATTAACACATCGCAATTCTAGGTTGTTAAAACCTGGGTTATGGTCCATCCATGATATGCTAAGTATACAGTAAGATTACTAAAAGTATACATAAGTAAAATGTCACATAGTCAAAAAGTCTTGAATATATCACTAAAGGTTAATGACTGTTTCGTGGATTTAAAGTGCCCCTTTTTTTCCTTTGCATTTTAAATTTTCTTATGTCAGGATGTGTCTTGCAATGGATGATATCTTAGTTTTAGAGAAATCATAAAACTTCCATGTAAAGTTGATTAAAGCAGTAAATAATGAAATTTATTCTATAGAAAGTAGTTAATTGATCATACAGGATATGTATATTTCATGTTGACATGCTATCAAATTGCCTTCAAGAGATTCTCATAGTTGCACTTAAATCAAGAGTAAATAAAAGTTATTTCTGTACACCCTCACCAATACTCTTACTTGATAAGTCAACTGCTCAAGTACAAGATAGGGGAGGATCAATCCTAATAGGCATTTTTCCCCATGTTTAACATCCCTGAAATTGGGATGTGTTATAAATTGATGGCGGGTTAGTTTAATTGGCAGTGTAAAATAATGGCATGTTTAAAGTGTTTTAAAGAAAGTCTGTAAATATGATAGTGCCTTTTGAAGGGGTCCCTAAAAATAGAAAGTTTTCAGCAAAGACACCCTCCCTCCAACAAGATAACAAGACCTGAATTCCATCTAGTTATTAAATGTGCTATTTGAGCTACTAATTTGACCAAGAATTTGTGGTGGTTAAAACAATTGGTTTATTATTTCAGAGAGAAAAATCGCTCCCCCTACCCTCATTTTACACATACAGTTGTACTTGAAGAGTATAGCTATATATGCTTGCCTAGACTGTGCTGTTTAAAGAAAATTATACCAATATTTATTACAGGTTTTGAATGAGAAGAAACTTCAAGAGGTTGATAGTTTGTGGAAAGAATTTGAAACTCCAGAGAAGGCAAATAAAATGTAAGTCATCTTAAAACTGAGAATTTAGCAGTTCACATTTAGGGGTTCTTTTTACATTTTCTCCCACCCTCTTCATATGTTATATTCATAATTTTTTTTAATCCTCACCCAAGGAGATGTTTATTGATTTTTAGAGCAAGAGAAACATGATTTTGTTGCCTCTTGTGCCCCAACTAATGGCTTGAATCCACAACCTAGGTATGTGCTCTGATTGGGGATCAAACCCACAGCCTTTTGGTGTACAGGATGATGCTCCAACTAACTGAGCAGCCCAGCCAGGGCTGTATTTATAACTTTTGTTTTGAAAAGTATTTCAGGAATAATACTGGTATGAGTCAAATCATTAGATTTCGTTATTTGGAGCATAGGTCATCTCTACTAATTTGTATTAGTTGCGGACTAGGTTGAGTAGCAACACAAAATTACTGTTTTGTAAGACACTTTGAAAACACAGGCAGAGAAGGAGCTTCCCAGACCAAAAAAAACTAGAGGATGAGTTCATCATTACCAAACCATTATTACATGAAATTCTAAAAGGGGCTTACTGTTAAAAAAGATCAAAACTGAACAATAAAATGGCAATAAGGACATATCTATCAACAACTGAATTTTACAAAACAGACTATGCAAACAAGAACAGAGAGAATCCTGGGCATGGAGAGCATTTTGATGGTTGCCAGACGGGAGAGGGGTGTAGGGGGGTGGGCGAAGAGGTAAGAGGATTTAGAAGTACAAATAGGTAGTTACAGAATAGCCATAGGGATGTAAAGTACAGTATAAGAAATGGAGTAGCCAAAGAACTTAGGTACATGACTTGTGGTCATGAACAGTGGTGTGGGGATTGCCTGAGGGAATAAGGGGTGCTGGGTGGAGGGGACCAAAGGGGGAAAAATTAGGATAACTGATAGCAACCTCAATAAAATATAATTTAAAAATGAACTTACAAAAATTCAAAAACCACAAATTGATTGTAAAGTATAAATTTCTATTAAAAGTAATACTTGTCAAAAGTATAGGCTGCTGATTGATTTAACTTTCTTTTCTCTTATGTTAATGGTATTCAAATGTTTTTGAACTTATTTTTCAGTTTATTCATTCTTTGTGACTTATATGTCCTAGCTCTGTCCGCAATAATAAGTAGCTAGTAAATCCTGGAAAGGTATACCTGAGTTCCCCAAGGTCTCCGGAGTAGAAAATCAAATATAACATTGATCCCCAGCTTAAGAAGTGAGTGGTAGGAGTGTGATCTGGCTTTTCAAAGTAGTTACGGTGGTAATTTCACCAGCTGTGAATCACCTTTTGAAATAGCCCATTTGGTTAATGTGATCCTAGCAAGGACCTAACTGATCTCTTGATATGTATGGATTTGAGTTATGTTTTTGAGTGCTAAAAGGCGTTTCATAATTCATCTGCTAGTGCTAAGAAAAACTCACAAGAATTGGAGGAGACTATTAAAGCTTGCAAAAAAGTAGTGAACCCAAAGAAATGTCATACATAGTGTCAGCATTTGTGGCAAAACCCCAAAATTTGAAATAAATGCCCATCAGTATTGTAATTGTTAAATAAATTTTAGTGTCTCTGTAGATCTCTTAAAGGTCTGGAAGGAGGTTCGTGATATACTGACGAAATCATGCCTCAGAATTTGTAGTTGATCCCATTTTTGCCATATTCTTGTGCAATTTCCATTTATGCAAGTACACAGAGATGAACAAATGGCACTTCAGAAGGGTGCAAATGGGAGTGTGGTGAGGCAGAATAGATAAGATTATTATTTTTTCCTTAAATCTTTGTGCTGTTGAGTGTGTAAGGGACCGCTAGGATGTTCTCTGACCAGGTAAGAAAACCTTGATTAAGGTAGTATTGGTTTAGACACAGTGGAATACTAGTTTTCTCTTTTCAAAAGGGTATATGCTTTAATTGGCTGGGTTAAAACTTGGTTCATTGTTGTCAATGATGTATTCTTGTTGGGACTGATTCTAAGTGATCTCACTGAAATATTCGTCACTACCACTGAGACAACAATGGATTAAATATATGTATTTGTTTCCATATAAAATGATGTTGCTCTGCACTTAAGTGTCTGGAGAAGAAGAGGGTAAAATAAGAGTAATAAGAATTTGATCTGACACTAAGCTGTTTAATGGCATTTTTACTGGATGGATAAATCAGTGTCATGAGATTGCTGGCCTAAGACAGACTCCTACACCTTTTCTAAGGCCACCTCTGTGCTGTATAGTAAAAGGCATCTGTGTGTAAGTAGCAGAGATTATGTTGAAGCTTCCAGTTCTTTCCTGTCGTTTAGATGTGGTAGCAAACCTCTTGGCTGTTCTGTTTCCTTCAAAGCCTACAGACTTCTCTGTAATAGTCCAAATATGACTAGTGTGACATTTAGAGAACTTGTCATTTTGTGAAGAATATCTAACTTTGTGCCCTGATAGCCACTGAGAGGAAAATTTCTTTTATCAGTGTATGCTTTAGAAACAGTCTGACAAGCTTTCCTAAATATGTGACTTTTGCAGAAATCAGTGTGTCCTCATAACATTTTTTTTTTTCTTTCTTAATTCTAGAGTTAAGCTAAAACATTTTGAGAAATTTCAGGATACAGCAGAAGCATTAGCAGGTAAAGTCAAAGACTAGTTTTTTTGTTTTTAATCTTGGCAATTTGTTGCCCTTACTTAAAAAATTGTTTGCTTCAGTTGCCTGAGTTAACCTTATTCAATGTTGTCAATGATGCATTGTTTTTGAAACTGAATTTAAATGATCTAACAGATTCGTCACTACCACTGAGACAACATTGAGATAGCTTTTTTCACCATAGGGCTGGTTTCCCCCCCCATGTGATGAGAGCTGAGAAGTGGTTAAATTGATCTCCCTGTGGAAACCAACAGCATAATGCTAAAGCACAATTCAGTAAAAGCTGTTCTACAAGGGACCAAGGTAATGTGGTCAAGCACAGAGCTCTGATCATTTTAATACAAGGGTAAAGTTGAGAATAGCCAGGAATCACAGTTGAAGTAATAAAAAGTTCTCCAGGGATATACGTTTTTAGTTTGAAAAAAACAACGTTATTAAAAGTTGTAGCGCCTTGACTGGTGTGGCTCGGTGGATTGGGCATCATCCTGCAGATGGAAATGTTGCCAGTTTGGGCCAGATCTCTGGCTGCAGGCTTGTAAGAGGCAACTAATTGATGTTTCTCCCCGTCTCTTTCTCCCTCCCTTCCCCTCTAGAATAAATAAATTAAATAAATAAAATAAACTAAGAAAAAATAAAAGCTTTAGGAAAAGTAGTACTTTAAGGTTTGTGCGAGTTTTAGTACAAAAACTAAGAGAAGCATAAGAGTTGTTATCTAAAGGGGGTGTGATTTTATATGATTTAGAAGAATGGATGACTCATCCTTCAATTAGTCCTAGTGCTAGGACAGCAGATATACAGTAATGTAGTTTATTAATTTGGCTTAGCTTCAGGATGCGGTTGGTTTTATAAGGTTGTTTTTTGTTCTAATCTTCATCCAAGGATATGTTTAGTGATTTTTGAAGAGAGAGAGGGAGGGGAAGAGAGAGAATATATGAGAGAGAAACATCGACTGGTTGCCTTCTGTACCTGCCCCAACCAGGAATTGAACCCACAACCTCTTGGTGCATGAGACAGTGCTCCAGCTACTGAACCCACCTGGCCAGGGCTTATTAGGGTTTTTTAATGTTAGGAAACAAGACCAGCTATAAAACCCTAATCATAAATTTTTCAGTTGCATAAATTCTATATCAAATCAGCCAACTACTTCGTGGTATAATTTAAAAATGAAGAGCCATAAGGAAGAATATGGCTTTAAATTAGGCAAGAATTTGACAGACCCAAGTAATTTTGCTCATCAGCCACAAGAGAAGGGTATAGTTCTCTTGTGAAAATTAGGAATCCAGCTAAATAAGCTGGGTATTAATGGGCCATCTCAATGTTGGCAGAGGGGTATACCAAAGGAAGACCCAAAAATGGGGCCAATTTTATTGTGCCCCCCCATTACCATTTAGTCCCATTATAACCATCTCCATCCCATCCCCCTCCCCTACCCCGCGATCAATTTTAAATTTTTAAGAGTAGTTCTAGGGCTGCTGTATTGATAATAAAAGCCTCATAGCACTGTAAAGCACACCTGTGGTAGTTTTTGCCCGGGGAGTTTCTTTAAAGATATTTGTTTGTCACAGCTTTAAAATTAAATATGTATAGAATTTTGGTAAAACCCCAAGCAAGATTGTGTTAGCTATTCTCCAATTCTGGGGTAAGTCCATTGTTCACCTAGACTGATTCGTATAGCTCCTCCTGGAGTTGTAAAGTCCTCTATCCCTGATCCCAAACAGCCTCTTTAGAATTTCTTTCTGTATATAGCCTCTTTAATCTTTTCGGGATATTTCTCACCAGTCCTTATTACACTATTAAATGGAGAAGTCCAACCTCTACCTGAACATGAAGCAGGTTTTTTTACTATGGCTTATACATTTATTACATAGCAATTGTCAGATTTTGTATTCATTGCTCCAAAATCTTAAAACAATCCTGTGAGATAGATAATATCACTATTTTACAGGTGATGAAACTGAGATTTGAGAGGTATCACATTTCCCTACCAAGCTTATAATGTTATAAAATAAATAGGGAAAATGCCACACTAGGTGAGAACCCTCTGACCTTCCCCCTAATTTAAGTTCCATGAGGGCAGAGACTTTGTTGTTTATTGTCAAATCCCTAGATTCTGGCACATAAATATTTTGGGGTGAATGAATGAAAGTAGAGAACTCTGTCAGGAATCTAGTCATAGAAACCTCTACAATGCCTTTTCCAGACTTTTTATCAGAACTTTGAACATTGGTTTATACAGAGTCCTTCCTGAGAATTCAACTTCCCACTGCCTGTTACAAGGCAGTTTTGATGTGACAGACTAAAATTCAGTGATTGTAGATGTCAGTATGCATTTAAAACCCCATAGTGTACGAAAGAATTTAATGGGGTGTCATGTCAATTTATATTGGTCCCAGAAGTTAAAATTTGCCATTTGCATGAAGAAGTTTACTTTTACTTTTGGTCAAATTTTCAAGATGCACGTTTTTGAATAGTCACAGTAAAATTTGGGCCAGCCTGCATTTGGGTGAAGTGAAAAACGTGCTGTACTACTATGGGTTGTGGCACAGTGGGTCGTAGAAAAGAGAAGGAGGGGAAAGATTTAGCTTCCCCTTTCTGTCACCATCTGTATAGCACCTTTTAAAAGTACATAGTATGAACACACTTGATAAAAGGAAAGTAAATGTAAATGTTAGAATAGATCAAGAGTAGAAAGTTTGACTTTTAAAAAAGATTTTATTTATTTTTAGAGAGGGAGAGAAACATTTATTGGTTGCTTCTCATTCGTGCCCTAATCTGGGACCAAATCCACCACCCAGGCATGAGCCCTGACTGGGGATCAAACCAGCGACCTTTGCTTTGCAGGGCAACAGATGATACCCAACCAGCTTAGCCACACTGGTCATGGCAAAAATTATACTTTCAGGAAATGGTAAAATGCAAAAGTAACAGAAAATTGAGGACTAGGAACAGGAATTTGAATAAAAGTTTTTAATTATGAAAGATAAAAAACTTGTAAGGAAAGAATACAACTTTTATTAGAAAGGCAGATTATTGAGTCATTGTTGTACAAAATGTAAAAGGTTAAACCCCAACAAAAATAGGTTGCATCTTAGTTTCTTAGAATGTAGAGATTTCTGAGAGATCTGTGTGGTAGCCAGATATTATCTTCATCTTTCATTTTACCAAATAACAGATGAAATTTACTTGTAATTCAAATGGATGGAGATATGGTCAGGAGGGAAGAGCAAGTATCTGGCTAACTAAATGCTTGGCCTTAGATATTATGACAAACTTCCTTTCTGACAGGCATACTTTAAATCCAACTACAATCAAGACAAGTATCAGGAGAGGTGTTAGTTCTTGTGGGTCCACAAGATGCAAGTGTATGTCTAAGGAAGGGTGAGAGTTATAAAAGTAGCAGGTTTAGAACTTACTAAAATGAAAGCTGTCCTAAATTTGAGCAGGATGCCTTCATGGTAAGTTCTCCATCATTGGAGGTTTATAAGCATAGGCCTGATTACACCTATGGATTGAGTTTTAGCAAAGATAAGGCCCCACTCAAATGTAGATCCTTCAAAATGAATACACTCCTTTTTCAGCAGTCTTGGAAAGATTTTAGGGTATTTCACAATCCAGAACATTGGGCCAATCTGTAATGATGTAGGAGAGAGAATCTATTTGTCATTCCAAAATAGAATGTTTCTAACATTTTATGATTTCTAGGTTTGAGTTCAAAAGAAGATTCATATGGCATAGGGAAAGAAAGGTTGGATCTGGTCTAATTCCTGGTTCTGGAGTAGAAATGAGGGAGGCAAGATCAGATGAGATTGTAAAATGTGTAACTTGTAAATATATTTGTTTATCATTTCATTTTAGAAGTAATGTTAAATTTAGCTCTTTTAAAAGGGAGTGGTTATTTTGCCTTTTTAAAAAAAATTTAACTGAGGTATTAAGCTCTTAAAATTAAAAATTTGAGAGAACTCTTCTGTTTTTCTTTTTCCTGAAAAGCATTCACAGCTTTGATGGAGGGCAAAATCAACAAGCAACTGAAGAAAGTTCTGAAGAAAATAGTAAAAGAAGCCCATGAACCTCTGGCTGTAGCTGATGCTAAACTAGGAGGGGTCATAAAGGTAAAGTTACGGTTTTCTTTCATGATTGCTAATCAGAACTCACCATAACCGTAGTGACTATAAAGCGCAGCCTTTGTAATGAGTTGTCATAAGTTCTCGTATTTTATTTTTTTCCCCCCTAGGCTACATAATAATTATTTCCAATATTATTATCACGGTTAAGCATATACATTCACTGTAAGAAATACAAATATACCGCCCTGGCCAGGTAGCTCAGTTGGTTACATTGGTTTAATCCCTGGCCAGGGCATGTACAAGAATCAGCCAATGAACACATAAATAAGTGTAATAACAAATCGATGTTTCTCTCTAATAAATTTAAAAAAAAAAAAGTTAAAATACAGATACAACAAAATTTCATTTAAAAAAAATAGCTTTAACCCTGCCACTCAGATGTAGTCTGTTAATACTTTGTGTATATCCTGCCATATTTTGGTTTAGTTACTCCCCCCCCTACCACTCAACATTAATGGAGTCATGACATTTCTTTCTTAATATATGTGTTTGTTAGAAAACTTTAGTAGGGGATAAGAGTTCCTAGAGGTAAAAATATAAAGTGAGAGTGGAAGGAAGGACTGGAAAAGTAGGCTGCCAGACATGAAAAGCAGAACAGTTTGAGAGCCAGTTGTGATAGTTTGATCTTTGGTTTTTTAAGTAGGGATTATTTTCTGTTGTAAGTCTTTTAGGTACGCTAGCGCTGAAGAGATTTGAGGGTTTTTAGCCAGGATTCTGAATTTAAGAGGTTTTCGTAGATTATTTTTAATACTGTCAAGTCATGAAGTTTTCAGTGATGGTGTTTGACGTGCCCATAAGCCTTAGTTGATATTTAATGTTAAAAACATGAACTTTTAACATAATAGATATAAACACAAAAAGGCAGATTGCTGAATGAAAGGATTATGGGCATCTTTAATTTTTTTCTTTTCAGTCTCTCCATTTAAAAAATATAAATTTATCCTGTTAGTGTGAGGTGTGTGAAAACTTAAACTATATTATGAACGTTTGTATATGTGTGTACTCAGACATATTAATATCTGTATATTTGGAAAACGGGCAAGTTCAGGGTGGTATGGCCTAAAATGCTGGCATCAGTTAACATGTGTATGTATTTGGCAGTACTTAAGGGATGCTAACAGTTATTTATCTGTAGGGAAAGGGCCTAAGACTCCGAATTTTGCTCTCTATTTAGTGCCCTTCTCTTCGGTACTGTTGATTAAAATTTTCTGTGTTTTACCTTTTAATTTTTTAAAAGAAACTAAATAAAATAAGTAAAAGATTCCTCAAATCAACAAAAAGAAGAAAACTAAATTAAACTGTATGTATCATTTTACAGCTTGTATTTCTTTACTTAATACAGATGTTCTTGTTTTCATAGGAAAAGCTGAATCTCAGTTGCATCCATAGTCCTGTTGTTAATGAACTTATGAGAGGAATTCGTTCACAGATGGATGGATTAATCCCTGGGGTAGAACCACGTGAAATGACAGCTATGTGTCTTGGACTGGCCCACAGGTGAGTTTTACTGGAAAATAAAGTTGGCTTTTATTTATTAAACAATTGTGTGCTACTGTTATAAGCATGTTACACATACTAATTTAATTCTCATAACGATCGGTAGTACTACCATCATTGTACAGATGAGGAAATGGATGCCCGAAGTCAATACAGCTGATATCTGAGAAGGCCAGGATTCCATTCTGGCTTCATTGCCTGGACTCTAAACCTTTCACTGTATGCATTCTCTACCCTTCTGGTGTTGGATCCCACAACTTTTATTTAGGCTTTCTTTTCTTACGTCTGCTAGATCATTTGCTACTCTTTTGTCCACTTAATTTTCTCATCTGCTGTGATCTTTTTGTGTATGTGTCTACCTGTGTTGCTTATCTTACTGAGTTTTATTGTTTTTATAATAAGGCAAAGAAAAGTACATTAACCTATCATATTTAACCAGAGATCCATTTGTGCTGTACTATAATATATGTGTTCCTGAAAAGCTTGGCATTCTGTGAAGTTGCATTGAAATACCAGGGTTTGTGAAGAAACAAGATGAAGGGGAGGCTACTTAAACCTTAACGCAACTCTGAGCAGAGCGCTATCAAAAACAATAGCTCTGAAGTACATTAACACAGGAAAAAAGACATACTATAGTAAACAAAGGTCTGTTCCTTTGAACAACAAAAAATTGAGCATAGATTGATGGAGGGTTAAGGCTCTATGGACCTTCAGAGACAAGCAAAATTACAAAAAGTCAGAAAGAACTTGATAATAAGCATTTCTGAGAGAGCACAAATAACTAAACTGGATCGATTCAAACTTGCAGATAAATTGGCATTGTATACAGCAGTGGTTCTCAGTCACATATTCCTTAGAAGATGTTTGGCAATCTGTAGAGACATTTTTGGTTATTAGAACTTCAAGTGGGGTCTGTTATTAACATAATGGGTAGAGGCCAGGGATATTTTGAAACATCCTAAAATGCACAGAATACACCCCCCACCACCACCACCACACACACACACAAAACAAAGACTGTCAGGTTCATGATGTTAATAGTGCCAAAATTAAGAAATACCTATATACAGTATTATTCCTCCATGGCTTTCTGTTCTCAGGTGTTACAGTGCTGCACTTTTTTTTTTCCTTTCTACTGATAAGAGCATTAATATGCTGCAAAAGTAATATATGAAGCAATATGACCTGCATTACACAGCATTATCTGAGTTGTCATTCATAAACTAATGTTTAAGAACTCTAGGTTATAGCAGGACAGATGTATTCTTTTTTAAATGTGTATTTTCTGATCTTGAAACTGATATTCCCATGTAGAGAAATTAAAAATAAAATGATGTAGCTCTGAGGGAGGAGTTTGGGTTTTAAGAGTTTTTAAGATGTTAGTTAAATGCTTTTTATCAATGTTATCTTAGCAGTGTGTTATTTTCTTCCTTCTCCCCAGCTTGTCCCGTTATAGGTTGAAATTTAGTGCTGACAAAGTGGACACAATGATTGTCCAGGCAATTTGTAAGTATAGTACATGGGAGGTCTACTGTGTACTACGTGCTTTTTTTTCCCTACTGTTAAAACTGTATCTTTTATAATTCTCTTGAGAAAGAGAGATTAACTAGAACTTTTTTTTTCAAGATTTTTACTTATTTTTAAAGAGAGAGGAAAGAGGGAACCAAACCCTCAACCTAGGCATGTACCCCGACTGGGAATATAAATCATTAGCTTGGTGGGACAACACCTGACCAACTCAGACACACCTGTCAGGGTGAATAACTAGAACTCTTAATAAGAACTTGGATGCAGATTAGAAAAAGGAAGAATTAACAATAATTTGACTAGTTGGAGATACGTGAATTGCACTATTACTGTAAACCAATTCATTTGTCTTTTTCCATGAAAAATACTAGAACCATAATGGGATCTGTATTGTGTTGTGTTTTGCTTTTTTGACCTGGCTTTATAATAGGTCATTCTACCATATCATTAAGTGATTTTTTTGAAATGTCAGAGTCTTAATTCTCAATTTTAAAAATCCCTTTAAACAGCAATTGCTTTTCTTGGTATATGCCCCTGTTTGTGACAGCATTATTTACAATAGCCACAAGGTAGAAATAGCCCCTATACCCAATGGCAGATGGAGGGATAAATAAATGTGGCATATACATACAATAAAATATTCTTAAAAAGGAAAGACATTCTCATACATGCTACATACAACATGGATGAATTTTGAAAACATGATGCTAAGTGACATAAGTCACACACACAAAAAGACAAGTACTGTGTGGTACTAGAATAGAAAATTAATAGAGACAGTAAAAGGGATTACTAGAGCCTGGGGGAAAGTCTGAATAGGGAGATATTTAATGGGTATAGTTTCAATTTGGAATGAAAGGTCTGGAAATGAATAGTGGTAGTAGTGATTACATAGCATTGTGAATGTACTTGATGCCACTGAAATGTACACTTGAAAATCATTATGAAGTGGCAAATTTTATGTATATTTTACCACAGTTGAACCATTTAACTTCATGTTTTCTTTTTTATTTTAATCTGCTGCAGCCTTGTTGGATGACTTAGATAAAGAACTAAACAACTACATTATGCGATGTAGAGAATGGTATGGCTGGCATTTTCCTGAATTAGGAAAAATTATTTCAGATAATTTGACATATTGCAAGTGTTTGCAGAAAGTTGGTGAGTTAACTTATGCTTTAACGCATTGAAAATAATTTCTTTGTATCTAAAAACTTGAGTTACAATTTTTTTCCAACAAACTTCCTAGAATTTTTTATAACTTATGTTTTAAGAGTATAGCCATATTAATAGCTGTTAGATTTCATAAACAAAATTAACTTTGGTTTTTCTTAAAATGGCTTTTTCTAGTAAACATGTCTCATCATGAATTTGCCATTAATAGGGGCAACAGTAGATGGGGGTATCCTGAAGCATATTAATAATTAACATTAAAGGTAATATTGCTGTCTGTAGTGTTATATTCTATGCAAATACTGTAATATTAGTAGAGGATGCTAAATATTACTTGGCTCATATTGCATTTTATAATACTTCAAGAGTTCATGGCCCTAGCTTCAGTATAATCTTAATTACAAATTGTCACAATGTCATTAGTCCTATAGAATGGAGTATTTTGAGGTGGTGATTGGTTGGTTTCTTTTTTTAGGGAGGTGGTGGGAGAGAGTATAATCTCTAAAATCAAGCCTTTACATAAGGAAAATTACTAGGTCAAACTTGTTCACTTTTTCTTTTGTTTCGGCACCCTTTTCATTGGCTTATCTCTATTTTTTCTTTTGACTATTTGGTGGATTTTGTATAATTTGTTGAAGAGTGATTCTCCTTCATCCTCTGCAAACATTCCATAGGCGATAGGAAGAATTATGCCTCGGCTCAACTTTCTGAATTACTGCCAGAGGAAGTTGAAGCAGAAGTGAAAGCAGCTGCAGAGATATCTATGGGAACAGAGGTTTCAGAAGAAGATATTTGCAACATTCTGCATCTCTGCACTCAGGTAAACTATACAGATAGAGAAAATAGTTGTGATACCAGCACTGTAATGATAATTTTCTGATGGCAGTGATGATTTTTAGAAATTATTGTTCACCTGATAAATAAATATGAGGGTGTTCAGTCACTACCTCATCTGATGCCATCTTGATTTATATACTTAGAGGGAGAAATATATACTAAAATAAAATTAAGAGTACTAATCTATTGTATTGGTACATTGTCAGAATAAATTCATTAAGGCAAAGAAGATAGCTTTGAGTTATTTAATTCTAACTTATGTTTATAGTCTAGTGATTTTTTTTCCTCTCTTCTTTGGAGATAGCTGTGAAGAATCAGGGTAACACAAATATCTAATCCTTGGAGGTTTTTAAAAATGACAGTAATATTGGCCAACATTTTTAGGAGTATACTTAATGTTGTTTAAATGCATTATCTAATAAAAATCCTTCACAGCGGCACTTTTAAAGGAAACTGAGGTAAGGAAAGATTAGTTTTCTCAGGATTGCATAGCTGCCCTATGATAGATGTAGAACTCCAGTGTTTTAGACATGTGAAGTTTAAACTGTTTTTGTTCTTAATCATTTGTGAGTTATTCATTTTTGTTCCTTGTACTAGGTGATTGAAATCTCAGAATATAGAACTCAGCTCTATGAGTACCTGCAAAATCGAATGATGGCCATTGCACCCAATGTTACAGTCATGGTTGGGGAATTAGTTGGAGCACGGCTTATTGCTCATGCAGGTGATGGCTTTAATGTAACTTGTAGACATGGGTATTTGGAATTGAGTGTTCTAGCAAGGATTTATTTTTAATCTTTAAATTACAGCTGTTAAAGACATTTTAGATAATAAATAGAAGTAGTAGATAGTATGCGAGTGAGGTCTAAGGACCAGTGTTCGATGATGATTTTTATTTGTATGCCTGAAATCCTTTTGGATAATGAAGGCATCTTCAGTCACTACCTCTTCTGAGACACTTGTCCATTGTCAGAAGTTTGTTGTGGTTAAGTGGAATAATCCGATGAATGCAAGAGGATGATATCAGTTAATATTTTATAATATTACAAAGTTATAAACTGATGCTTGCCAGGGGGTTAGGGGGTTGGGTGAAAAAGTTGAAGGGATTAAGAAGTACAAATTGGTAGTTATAAAAAAGCACAAGAATGTAAAAGTACAGCACAGGAAATATAGTCAATAATATTGTAATAACTACTATGGTGCCAGGTGGGTACTTGAAATATTGGGAGGATGAGGTACATGATGGTCGAACTATAATGCTGTACACCAGAAACTATACAAAATAATATTGGAAGGTCAGCTTGAAAAATGAAATTTAAAAAACTCATAGGATTAAAATTTGAATAGTTTTAAGTATTCACAACAAGTGATGATATAGTTATGCACTGCTATGTGATGGGGATACGTTCTGAAAAACGTATCATTAGGCCATTTCATCATTGTGCAATCATCATAGAAATGCACAAATCTATTGAGGTGATACAGTCTACTACACACCTAAGCTATATGGCATACCGTTGTCATATATGGAATCCATCGTTGACTGAAATGTCATATGCGGCACATGACTGTATAAGCCTTTATCAAGACTGTTTCAGAATTGAATATGCTATTTTATATTTTAATATATTAGACATAAAAACATTTTAAATAAGGGATTTATAATAAAACATAATATGTGTATGGTGATATTATAAAGATGGATGCTACAAAAGTTGTATAGTTACTTGAGAATATAGTGAGGTACTAATTCATTATTTTCTATTACCAGTCATCACAGAAGATCTGAATGTATCATCTGTAGCAAAGTATTTAAATTAGAATAGACCATTCATTGATCACATATGTCATTCAGATATCTTCAGCTGCAAGAATGGAGTTATTTGGGCTGTAGGTCTTGTGTTTAGTGCATGGCACTTTGAAATAATTAAAAACTGATTTCCTGTAACTACTTCTTTTATTTTGAAGGTTCTCTCTTGAATTTGGCCAAACATGCAGCCTCTACAGTTCAGATTCTTGGAGCAGAAAAGGCACTTTTCAGAGCTCTAAAGTCTAGACGAGATACCCCTAAATATGGTCTCATTTACCATGCTTCACTTGTAGGCCAGACAAGTCCCAAACACAAAGGAAAGGTAAGTTAGTTTTTCTGAGGTGGGCCTTTTTCTCTTTTTTTCCCTCCAAACAGCACATTTTCTTCCTGCTCTATAGTATGCAATGAATCTTTTTTTTCTCGTTGAATAGAGAATGGTGAATTCTTTAAATAAAAAACACTTTGTTTAATGAAAGAGAAGGTTTAAAGAAAGTACTGTATTGGTCCTGTTAAAGCCATGTTCTTTCACTGTTATTGTTTTCCTAAAATTCACCTGTTGGTAAGGGGAGGAGTGGGTGGCACATCAAAAGTGTTCTTAGGTCTTGAGTGGATTGGGCATCATCCCACAAACTGAAAGGTTGCTGGTTTGATTCTTGGTCACGGCACAGGCCTGGATTGCGGGTCAGGTCACCCCCTTTGGTGGCATGTGAGAGACAACTGATTGATGTTTCTCTCTGTCTCTTCATCTCTTCCTTCCCCTCTCTATAAAATTCAGAACAGCAAGGAGAAATGAAGGGTTTAATAAAATGTTAATTAGCTTGAGAAGGGGACTACACTTGTTGACCTCAGGGTGTAGAACTAATGTCGCTGAGTATAAACTAAAATTTAGGGGCATTGGAAGAATAGTTTGAGCTCATTTTAGACATGAACCACTGAAAGGTCTTTTCATCCACCAAGATGATAGTGGTTATATATAACAAGTTAGCCGTTATATTGTGGCAAAGATTTCAAATATAAGATAGATGGCTTGAATTGTATGATTCAAAATACTTTTGTAATTCCTGGTTTGAAGAAAATCCTAGTGTGAATGTTTCTAACTTCAAGTTCTCTGTTAGATCTCTCGAATGTTGGCAGCCAAAACTGTTCTGGCTATCCGGTATGATGCTTTTGGTGAAGATTCTAGTTCTGCAATGGGAGTTGAGAACAGAGCCAAATTAGAGGCCAGGTTGAGGGCCTTGGAAGATAGAGGGGTAAGAAACACACCATGCCTATTAAAGTGTTACCTGTTAAAAGTTAATAAACTACATAGTTTATGTGCTTATTTCACCTGCTAAACAGCTGTGTAATGCATTTCAGTATGTCTAATATATTTTTATATGCCTACTGTTAACAATTTTTGTTATATTTACCAATAATTGATATATACTATAAAGAGATTATGCCTTAGAAAATTAATGGGTTTTCTTTTCTTAGATAAGGAAAATAAGTGGAACAGGAAAGGCATTAGCAAAAGCAGAAAAATATGAACATAAAAGGTGAGTACAGGGGAAGAGGGATGGACAATTCCTACTTACTTAAATGTTAATTGTTGACAGTTTTTTATTGTAAACCAAAACACCTCAGTGTCCCCGCTTTTTGCCATTTACAAGTTTCCATATTTAGTTCTGGTTTTTAATCAGAACCACATTTTTACATTGTTGTAATCAGTACATATAATGTATTTGTTTTGGCTTTTTCTTAATATTTATGTTATTCATTTCCAAATATTGAGAGTAAACATTTGTCATTCATAGTTCCTTTATAGTATACCATGTGTCAAAAAGAAAATTCATTGGGTTAATCTAACAAATCTTTTTTAAAGAGACAAAAGCCTAAAAATGGCCAAGAGGCATGGTAAAGTTTTTAGGCCTCACCATAAAATTAACAAAAGATTTGTGTGGGGAGAGGTATTTTGGTTATTATTTGAGGTGGTGCTTAATACTGATGAGGTTGTGATGATGGAGGTAGAATGTACGACAGCTTTTCTGGGAAGCAGACAGTGTGCATCAAGAGCCTTAAAAATATTTCTAGACTTTAAGACATAAAGTTCTGCTTTTAGGAATCTTGTAATTTTTTGAGTTTTAATAATAACAATCTTAGGCTATTACTTGGGTGGGGAGAGCCATATAGAATAACCTTTTAATTACAAATACTATGTTTATATATTTAAATATACACATTCAGAAAAAATGTTTTCTTTTATAGTTTGAATTTTCCAAGTCTGATTTGTTGTCCTTAGTTGACAAATGTGGGTCTTTGTTTTTTAAATTATAGGTGTTTTTAACATATAAGAGTTAAAGCCATGAGCCTATAAGTCAGCTTAAGAAATGGAACATATTTTGTATAATTTTTATTTTCTGGTCATTATGCTTGTAACTTCCAACACATACACTTAAAGCACCAGCTGTGAAAGAAAACCTGATTGAGGTCTTTTGGTTTGGTTTTCACTGAATTACTTTATAATCTAAAATTTAAATTGGTTCAGTTTGCTTTTCTGGTATGTGATCATGTGGTATAAAACGATTTTCTCCTGTTTTCCCCCCTATGGTAGATTTTTCTATACTGTAGTCACATTGATTACTCAGAATTTGTTTAGCTCACCACATCTTTTGAAGTATAATTGACATAGCTGGAATATATTAATACCTCTACCTTTTGGAAACTTAGTTTTCATAAACTATCCCAAAGCCACTAAAATGAAACAGCATTTTATGCTCATGGAAGTATTAAATAATGGCATTTCATTTAAATCTTTAGAGAGATTTCATTTGTAAATGTTTGCAGAGATTGTCTAAAACTCTTTGGCTCTTTCAGTGAAGTGAAGACTTACGATCCTTCTGGTGACTCCACACTGCCAACCTGTTCTAAAAAACGCAAGATAGAACAGGTAGATCAGGAGAATGAAATAATTGAAAAGAAGGCCAAAAAAGCTAAGGTTAAAGTTAAAGGTTAGTTTGAATATTTTAATGTCATTTATACTCTTATTCCTTAAGTACAGGCTTGATAAGTCTGAAAGTACGTGTTGTTGAACTTTATTGTGAAATCACTCATATTGAAAGCTAATGGTGTTTTAATAAGCCATCGTGTTCTCTGAAAATAGTTAGGATATTGTTAAATTTAATCAGATTTCATAGAGGAATGTGAGGTGCATTTCTATGAATATTGGAATTGCGTATTAAACTGAGTATACCAATGAGCTATTTTGAGAATCAGCTTAAATTAGAATAAAAAAGTACATGATTTCTAAATAAGTTACTGAGGTATTTTTGTTACAGTTAAGTGTATAATTGATGCAGCAGTGGTTTTCTTCATTTTTTCTGTTACATGGAAAAGGACTAGAAAGTGATAACATTCTAGGTAGCCTACCATTATAGTAATGATATCTCAAAGGTGCTCCCCAGTAAACCAGTTTGTCTTGCAAAGTTGGTAAGCAAGTACCCCCATCCATTTATTAGCTGGACCTGTGTTGAGTGCCTACCAAATAGTTTAGCCAGACAGGTACTAAAGCAATGACTGATTTAATTTTGGTTTCTAAATAACCCAGTGGTCGAAAGTGTACTATCAGCAAATACGGGCTCCTGCCCTAGATGAAGAAAGCATTTATTTAACTCCTGTGCTTCTATTTTCTTATTGAACATTAAGGAGTTCTCTAAACCCATTGGTAGTGTTTGAAAACTCCAAACTCCAGACTTGCATCTTCACTTATATGTTCAATAAGCCTTTCAAACTTAGCATTCATGGATCCTTGCCACTCCCAGTCTGTTGCTCCCCAGTTTCCTCCATCTTACAAATGGCAGTTTTGGTTACTTTGGCCTTTAACCTTGGGTAGGTTCTCTTATAAACCAAAACTATTCTGACAGCATATCCTCTTTAAATCTACTTTGAAAGTATATCTAGAATCTAACCACCTGTCATACCCACCACTTAATGTAGCAGCCACACTGGCTCTTCTTGGTATTCATTGAACCTGCCATCCACCCCTTTCTTCCAAAGTATCCTTAGCATTTGTTATCTCTACCTGGAATGTTTCCCTCAAGAGATTGCATTATTCATTTCCTTTCCTCTTCTAGTCATTTGCTTGACTTCCACACAAAAGTGTTCCCCTTTCTGCCTTATTTTTACCCTTAGCACTGATTCTACGTAAAAAGACTACTGTATAGTAAGTATCTCATGTCTCTCCCCTTCTATATAAAGGTTTCATAAGGACAGGGATTTTGGGTCTGTTTCGTGTCTTCCTATATCTTCAATTGATTAGAATAGGGCCTAGTATATAGTAGATCCTATGGTGACTGAACTTCCAATGATAGCTACCTATCATTGATTCTTAGTTCTAATGTGCCAAGCATTGTGCAAAGTATTTTGCATGTATTACCTCATTAAATCCTAATAGTCCAATGAGACGCACATTACTAAATTTTATAGATGACGTTGAGTTTACAGAGGTTTTACTCAGGGCCACTGCTTAGATTGAATTAATGCCTGTCTTAACTCTATTAGCACAAACCCTTAAATTTCTAATATAACTGAGTTCCAAAAAGCAGTGGGCGTGTGGGTGAGATGATCTGTTTTAGTTCTAATTTCTATGCATAGCTACTTGATTATGAGAAATTTACTTCTCTCTGAGCTTTATATCATTTGTAAAGTTAGTGCTGTTAAACTAGGTAATTGTTGAAAGGACCTTTCTAATTATAAATTATATAATAAACATTGGATGATTGACCAGAATGGCAGGAAAAAACTTAAGATTCAAACAGTTTTGGGGGTCTGAGGCCTGACACAGTGTTAAGTGTTGTATCTTTATACTTACCCTATGTAGTTGAAGAAGAAGTAGTAGAAGAAGAAGAAGAAGAAGCAGAAGCAGTACTGGTGGTGGAAGAACAGGAGACATCTGTGAAGAAGAAGAAGAAAAAGGACAAGAAGAAACACATTAAGGAAGAACCACTTTCTGAGGAAGAACCATGCACCAGCACAGCAATTCCTGTATGTTTGTTTTTAGTTTCCGATACTCTATTGGCATGAGGAGGGTCTCCATGTTTTATTCTGCTTTGTATATCAGAAATGACCTTTTCTTCTCAGTGAGGTAAAAATAAAATGACATTATGGTATTTTATTAAAAGGCTATTTCTATTATTGCAGAATGGGCTTGCTGTGAATAAGGAAGAGAGTAAGATTTAAGAGAGATCGATCTACTTTGCTTCTTATGAGGAAAAGTTATTATTCACCCGTATATTAACAACTCTCTCAAAAGCATTCTTTTTGATTATTTTCAGAGTCCAGAGAAAAAGAAGAAAAAGAAAAAAAAGAAAGATAATGAGGACTAATGGAAAGTAATCATAATTGAATCACCTGGACACATCGTGCTTAAGGTTCAGTCAGGAATATACCAGAGATGCTCTCTAAAGTAATCAAGGATTAACAAAGGTTGGATGAAACAAAGTGATTATTCATCTATAGCTTTTCAAACCTGTTTGTGTCTTGACATCAACTCTATTAACTTTATTATGTCATTTCTTAGTCTTTGTTATACAAATAAAAATATTTTCTTTGTATTTTAAGGCAGTTCTGTGATCTCTATTTTAGTTAAGAGAATCTTTAGCCATTAGCATTGGATAATTATTATTTCAGTTATCATATCTGAAAAGTGAGAGCTGTGAATCGTTAATTTGAAACTTAGCCTTTGCTAAGGCAGTGATTAGATGGACCAATTTAAGAATCTCACTCTTATGTGTTTCTCTTGCCCTTTTAGAATTTTTTTCCCCTTTTTTCCTCTTTCTCCCTCTTCGCTTAATAACGCTGTGTTTTGTGTTCAAAATTTTAAAATCAGGTGAGCAAAAGTTTCAGATATCTCTTCAGAAATAATAAAATTGTGTCCGTAATTTTACTTTGTTTGCGATTTCAGAAGGTACAACAGTAATTATTGATCTAGACCCTGGTTTGTTTCTAAAGCAATCTAATACAAAACTCATTTTATAGTAAAGAATGGTGGATAAAGGGAAATACAAGTTGAACAAAAATAAAATGTCAGTAGACACGAGGTATAAACCAGCACATAAAGCACCAAAGAAATCTTTATTTCTAAAAGATAGCGTTTAATATGTGAACAGCAGCCTGATTGACTGCCATATAGTCATGACAGTCTGTTACATCTTGCATTTGTTTATGCCATTAGCATGCTAATGGAAAATTCAGTAAAAACATTCAAGGGGTTGGGGTAGTTAAAATGATTATAATTTTGAGTTCCACCTCTGCTTTTAATGTAACTCTGGGCAAGTGAACAGCCCTTCTTCACTTTCTTATTTGTAAATCAGAAATAATAGTCAACTTTACTTCTCATAACTTGTTTGTAGAAAATAAGATGATAAATTTCAGAGATGTAAATACAAAGTTAGATATTTTGTTTGAAGTAAATGCTGCATGAAGTACATGTAGCCATCTGTAGACAAAATTTTAAAATATAAAGCTGGTTATCTTTCTCCCTGGAGAATTTTGTTATTTTGCCTCACCCCAGGCACTTTATTGATTTCAGGACTTAACAAATTTTTATTTTCAACAACTTTTAGGTGAAAGTGCCCTATAGACTGCCAACAGTGGTATATAGTCAAAGCTTTATATCTGAAACAAGATAGACTTTGAGGATACTAAACTCTTAATCAATTTGAGTGATCTACAGACCTGGGCAAAACTAAGTTAAATCAAAAAACTAGCAGCTTTCTTAAATGCTGAAGCCTAAACTGTTTAAACATCTAACCAAAAGGTAAGTTAGGTTTTTTGTGCCAAAAATGAAGTACTTGTCCTGTTGAAGAGCCTTAGGAAGCTCAGGTGAATTTTATGTACCTAATTTTGGTTAGCAAATTTGAAGAATTTTTTTGTGACAGCCACAGAAAATAATCTCTGCTTAAAAACTTACTGATTTCTTCATTGCACTCTACCCCCTTCTCTTCAAAAATGTAAATTTATATTTTCTAGTTTACAATAACTTCTGTATCTCTCTCCTGTCTTCTGGGTCCTTAGTATGCTTATCAAGGCCTTGGCTGAGCCATCTTCTCCAGAGCTCCAACCTCAGAACACTTTCTGCAGTTCTCTGTCCATGAGGAGTTTTCAGTTCATTTGTTGCATCTCTAAGGCCCTAAGGCCGTCTTTTAAAACTTGGCTCTGGCTCATCCTCTGTCTCTAGCTGTACCTCTGTGATTCTGAAAAGTGCAAGCTACTCTGTGTTGGAACATTTCTTAGTAGCCTGAAAGTTGGAATCTTGTTGAAAAACATGGTGGTGGGTATATGGATGTTCATTGTGTTTTCTCTATGCTTGAAAGTGATCATAATTAAAGTCTTATTTTTTGAAGCAATAACACGCTATTTATTTTGCTTTAATTTGGAGTTCTTTATCTGAAAATTTCCAAGATATTTTTACAACATTTTCTTGGTCAGCAAACATTTGGGATACCTACAAGAGGCCAGGTACTTGTTAGGTAGCTGGGGGAATTCAGAGAAGCTGAAAACCACAGCAGCTGCTGCCCTCGGGGGAACAAAGTGAACTTCAAACCTTCCTGATGAAGAAGGTCATGTTTCTACTTAAGTCTCTGCTTGATTAAAGAAGGGGGGATGCAGGGAAGCAACAAATAGAGATCTAAATAGAAGATAAATACATTTTGAAAGCAAAATCTGTGAAGAGGAATTTGAGATTATGGAAGAGAAATTATCCCTCTTGCTCAGTTAGCAAGAAGATCACCGCACACTGAAGAACGTAGAAAACATCAGAAAGAACAGCAGCAGAGATCTACCCCCTGGCAGGTAGTAAAAGTTGTAAGTATAGCTGCATCTCATTGTATGCAATATCCCCACCATAAAACTTTGCAGCATCCTCTGAGATTAGGCAATTTGATGCTCACTTGAAGAACTGTAATGTGCCGTAAGGGTTAGGTAAGTCATCGTGTGAATTCTTAGAGCCTCAAAACTCCAGCCTTCCTACCCTGAGCCAAGAAGCAGAGAACACCTTGGTTTCTAGCAGGGGTAAATGGGCCTGACTCCAGGAAAAGAGTTGGTCAGACAAAAAATGCATCTATTTATATCCTATAATCTGCTGGGCCAGCAACATGCTAATAGCCAGCTGGGCATGATGGAAAGGCCACAAACTGTCAGAATGGGAAGGTCCCTGCACTAGTGGTCAGAGAAAATAATATACATGAAAGTGTTGCATAAGCCAGAAAGCACAATTATAAATTAGTATCCTTATGGCTGTTATGAGCTGGTTTCATAGTTTGTATCCTTGGACAAATCAATGTGTCCTCTCTAGGCCTTAGTTTCTTCTAAAATGGAAATAATTTTTACTGATAGGGCTCTTGGAAACGCAGATCTATGCAAGAATTCCTTATAAACAACAAATATAAAAGGATTATCACTCAAAACCTGTTCTCCTTAAAAACACGAAGACCCAAGAGTTAAGTGCTCCAGGGAAAAAGTCAGTGGAAGGGTTTAAGGACCCTTCTATGGTAACCACCAGCGGCCATTTATTTACCAGACTTGTTTCTCATCTCTGGGCACACAACTACACTATTCCTCAGCCTTCCTTGTAATTAGATAATAGTGTGTCCTAGCTAATGGGATGGTAAGGGTGGTAACATACATCACTTAGAAGCCTGGTTCCTAAAAACCCCCACTACAGTTCTCTGTCCTGTTCTGCCCCACCCTCTCTGTTGATAGACAAATACAGCAACTTTGGGAGCCAGGTGTTAAGATACAGGAGCTATAAGGTATAAAACCTGGGGCTCTTAAACACCACCACTGGCTTGTAGGACAAGTACTGATTGGAAACATCCATTTTGGACTTGTAGAGGAAGAAAGAAACTTGTCACATTTGGGTTATATTAGTTTGAAACATGAAATTGCCCACTTTTTTAATCTATAAAAATAATATGATTCAACCTAATATTTTGTTCAGCTAGTATAACCTTAATAAACGATCTTAGAAAAAGTTGTTTTGTTTTTTTTTAACAACCATGTTTTCAAAGGTGAGAAAAGACATTAGAATTGTTGAGCTTGTGGGTCAGATTCTATTGGGTTGGCCAAAAAGTTCACTTGGGTTTTTTTCCCATAAGATGGCCCTAGTAGTGCTTAATTGTCTTTAACATAATTCAAAACAATTTTGTTAGATTGTATTGTGACAGCTGTTATATCTGTGTGCATTTTTTAAAAAAAAAAACCAAATTGGTGAACTTTTGTGTAGCCATTTTAATACTGAAGATGGAAGAAAATATGCAGCATTTTTGGGGTATTATGTTTCATTATTTCAAGAAAGGCGCTCTGGCTGGTGTGGCTCAGTGGATTCAGTGCCAGCCAGCGAACAAAAAGGTCCCTAGTTTAATACCCAGTCAGGGCAGGCACCTGGGTTGCAGGCCAGGTCACCAGCTGGGCGTGTGGGAAAGACAACCAATCCACGTATCTCATGCATTGATGTTTCTCTCCCTCTTCCTCTTTCCTTGTCTCTAAAAAGAAGTCATCTTAAAATAAGAGGCTGTGATTGATCAAACTTGGCTGGAAGTGGTTTGTGAAGTTTCATGCTGGAGGTTGAAGTTAATAGTGATCAAATCAAACAATAATTGAGAACAACCAATGTTCTGCCACACAAGAGATAGCCAACATACTCAAAATATCCAAATCAATAGTTATTAGTGAAAATGAAAAATATATTTTCCAGAAAAAAACTAAATGACTTTTTGGCCAACCCAATAACTTCCTACCATTGGCCCATATTTGAATGCAAAAATATTTAATTTGTTCCACAAAGTGTTGACCAACAGTTTTGGTTTTTGGTTTGTTTAAGTTTATTGGGGTGACATTGGTTAATAAAATTATACAGGTTTCATGTGTATAATTCTAGAATACATCATCTGTAAATTGTATTCATCACTCCAAGTCAGGTCTCGTTCCATCACCATTTATTCTCCCTATTACCATAAACTTTCTTACCTGCCCCCACTCCCCTTTCTCTCTGGTAATCACCATACTGTTGTCTGTGTCTATGAGTTGGGGGGTTGTTTGTTTTGTTTTGCATAATCTTTCACCTTTTATCACCCAATCTCCCTCCCTTCTGACAGCTGTCAGGGTCTCTGAATCTTTCTATTTTTGTTTTGTTAATTAGATTCCACATAAAAGTGAAATTATATGGTACTTGTCATTCTGAGTGACTAAACTAGTACAATGCTGTCCAATTTTAAAAGGTTGAATTCCACGTCTAGCTAAGATGGAGGCTTAGGTAGATATACTGTGCCTCCTTGCACAACCAAAAGAACAAATTTTGAAACAAAACCAGAACTGCCAGAAAATCAAACTGTATGGAAGTCCAACGACCAAGGGGTTAAAGAGGAAACATTCATCCAGACTGGTAGGAGGGGCAGAGAAGATGAGTGGCAAGGTGGCAGCTGACGGACCTGGTGTTCCCACATTTGTGTGCTGATAAACCAGGAGGAGCAACTGAGAAGCGAGAGAGACTGCACACCCAGTGTTTCAGCTCTGGAAAAGAAAGCTACAAAACCTGTGGCTGTTAAAACCTGTGGGCATTGTAGTAGCAGGAGAAACTCCCAGCCTCACAGAAGAGTTCATTGAAGAGACCCACAGGGTCCTAGAATGTATACAAATCCACCCGTCCAGGAATCAGTACTAGAAGAACACAATTTGCTTGTGGGTAGCAGGGGAAGTAACTGAAAGCAGGCCAAGAGCTGGGCAAGCAGCATTGTTCCCTCTTAGATCCCTCCGCATACAGAGTCACAACGCAGCGACCTGGGTTGCTCCTCCCTGGCAAATACCTAAGGCTCTGCCCCTTCCAGTGACAGGTGCGCTGAGACAAAGAAATATGGCCCAAATGAAAAGAGATCAAAGCTTCAAAAACAACTAAGCGATGAAGGGATAGCCAACCTGTCGGATACACAGTTCAAAACACTGGTAATCAGGATGCTCACACAAACGGTTGAGTATGGTAGCAAAACAGGAAAAAGTGAAGGCTATGCAACATGAAATAAAGGAAAATATACAGGGAACCAACAGTGAAGGGAAGGAAACGGACTCAGTGATTTGGAGCGGAAGGAAGAGTTAAACATTCAACCAGAACATAATGAAGAAATGAGAATTCAAAAAAAAAGGTTTAGGAACCTCTGGGACAACTTTAAAAGTTCCAACATCCAAATCATAGGGATGCCAGAAAGCAGATGAAGAGCAAGAAATTGAAAACTTAACTTGAAAAAATAATGGAAGAGAGGGGGAGAATGGGGAATAAGATACAGAGAATAGCATAAACAGGTACAAAATAGGGGGAGGTTAAGAATAGTTAAGGAAATGGAGAAG